CTGGAGGTGGGGTGGACGTGTTGGATCATTCACTACTCCGCCAAACACTCAACTTAGCTCTGGCAAAGGCGCTTGAGGGATTTGCGATTGCTTCCTTCTGCCGGTGACAGTTTTTAGTGCCCTCCAGATTTTCCTCTGGTGGTTGGTTGGTTGGTTGTGTTTATTTGAATTCGCAAACCGAACGGACTGAACATGTCCAATGACAAGGAAGCGAATGAAGTCCAAGTAACCCGGGAATGGGGACACAGATGAAAAGAAAATATGGGAACAGAAGGCTCTCAGCAAAGGAAGAAGAGAAAAGAAGGAAAGAAAAGAATAAAGGAGAAAAAAAAGAAAAAAGAAAAGAAAAATCGTGGTCACGGGGAGAAGAAAGCTTTTAGCAAAAAGGGAAAGGAAAGGATAAAGGAGAAAATGGGGAGACACATTGTGGTCACGGCCAAAGCCGGAATAGCGGCAGGACACAGTAGACATAACAACAACAGGAACAAGCACGCATGAAGCATGGACCATGTTGGCCCAGAAGTGGGAGACACCGACAGGAAGAGAGAAGAGAAGAGAAGAGAGAGAGAAATCGAAGCATTGCACATCTACGCCCACACATCCACAATTCTACACACCCACACATCCACACATCCACACCCCCCCCCACACACACACACAAACACACACACACACACATACATGTGCATACCCACACCTACACACCAATAAACACATACTCAGACACATACCCCCCCCCCCCCACACACACACACACGCGCACATGCGCGTGCACACACACACACACACACACACAAACACACAAACACACACATGTACATTGACAGCCACACATACAATTGCTTTGCAATGTTCTCAGTTCATATAAGAAACGGGACTGCTGCAGCACGGAACTGATGACGCGGAACAGAGATGGAGCGAATACTGCTAGGCAGGCTGTTCCAGCAAAGCGCACCCTGGAAGGCGAATGTCCCCTTTCCAGAGTTGCTGCGGGCGGGTGGCAGGCAGAGACCCATGCTGGAGTCCAGGCGAGTGGACCGACCACAAGCTGGCAGCAAGAGAACCTGAAGCTCAGGACTTGCTTGACGGTAACGGCATCGCCATGCAAGGAATGCCAGCTTCTGCTTGTACACTTCGGTTCCTCTGGTTGGTAATTTGGCATTGGGTGGTGTTGTGTCCTGCTCAAGGCAGACCAACTCTTCGAAAGATGAGAATGAATCATCAGTGAAACGCAAAGGCTTTCAGAGGGAAACTGGCTGCAATGGCGGCTTGAAAGGTCACATGTGACTGTGTTATGTGCCAGGTGCCAGCGGTCCAGCAGTACAGGGAAGCAGGTGCGAACAGTAGCACTAGCAGCCTAAGTGCTAAGACCCATGCAGGGAAAGGTGCTATAATATCACCACATGGAGACCTGGTGTCGATCACAAGGTCGCAGATTGCCTGTTGAGACACCCAGTAAGTGCACCAGACCCTGACGATGAAGCTGGCGAGGAAAACATCGAGCACTGCTACTGTGTTCTCTGTCAGCTGTTGCAAGAGGACAAGGAAACAGGCCATACAGTACTCCCCGACCTTGGACTTACGAAGGTGCGAGCGGAGGGCTCGACGGACCCGGAATACCTCAAGCTTCTGAACGCCGCAAAGAATGGCTTTCCGGTGGGCAAGGCTGCTCTAGACCTCGATCTGCACTCGTACTGGCCGGTTCGACATGATCTGTCAGTCGAGGATGGCATAGTGCTGTTGGGTCACTGTATTGTCGTTCCCAGAAGGTTACGCCAGACCACCCTGGAGCAACTTCACGCTTCACATCAGGGACAGACTCACACACTCCGCAGGGCCAGGCAAGCAGTGTACTGGCTCCAGACCTCCAATGACGTTAAGAACATGGTCCAGACCTGCAGATCCTGTGTCACCCTGCTCCCTTCCCAACCTTCTGAGCCACTCCTCGCTGACAGTCCTCCGTCCAAACCGTTCGAAGATGCAGCGGCGGATCTCTTCTCCCTAGGCGGCTTTGAGTACCTGGTTCTCACCGACAAGTTTCCGGCTGGCCATTTGTTGGGTGTTGTGGGAGGTCGGCTACCACGTCTGATGTCACCAAACATCTCGTTCAGTGGATGTCGGACGTTGGCGTTCCTACGTGCCTCACGACGTATGGTGGGCTGCAATTCAGATCTTCAGTGTTTGCTTCGTTCTGCTCAGAGTGGAACGTTTGCCACGACCTCAGCAGCCCGTACAACCCTCAGTCGAATGGCGCGGCTGAGGAGGCGGTCAAGGCCATGAACCACTTGTTATTGGAAATCGGTAAAGGAGACGCCTATAACAGCAGTGCCTTCAGAGAAGGGTTGCTGGAGTGAAGCCCGGCCCAGCTGCTGTTTGGAAGGCCAACGAGGACCAAGGTTCCCACACTCCCTGCAAATCTGCAGCAGTACGCTGCCCACAGCCATTCTGTGAACTGGGTGTTTGGTGAGTTGTCGTTCCGTGATCTATCGGTCGGCGAACTGTCGTTCGGTGAACCGTCGTTCGGTGATAGTATTATTATTATTATTATTATAGACAACACCTCACAGCATGAAAAGAAAATCAGCCAGTACGGGAGATGTGGATATGTCGGGACGCCGGCCACGCTGGTCGTACGGAACGAGAAAACAATTTACTGCTTTTGTTTTTGTACACCAAGTTTGTAGCACCATTGCTACCAATGTAAAGCAGGTGTGGTCGAATCTGACAAAGTCAACTTTAACCACGGCTGCCACCAATTTTGTAGCGGGCCGCAGTCTCTCTGAGGCAACAATACACAAGGGTCTCAGTGAACACACTGGTATAACTATTTATTAAACATTGAACTGAACTAAAATGCAACTTTACCTTACAATGAAATTAACTGGCAATGAAATTATGAAATTAGTTGTCATCGTGAGAGTGCCGGTGAAAATGTTAGTGTTGCACATAGGTTTCGTGGTGGCAAGTCTTCAGTGTACAATCATCTTCTGGTTAGTCCTGATTGTTGCAATTCGTATTCTGACTCTTCTTTCACTGTATTGTAACGTGGTCGTCATGGTTATGGACCACAGTTAACAGGCGCGTGCGCCGGTGCCCTTCAAGGGGTGTTCCGGGGGGCCTCCCCCGGGAAAAGTTTCAAAAATGAAGCAAACTCCTGCATTTTGAGCAAAAAAAGTGGTTCCGGGCACCCAGGAACCCATACGAGGCACGCGCCTGGTTAAAAGTTTTGGAAGCGATCTATCAGCGTCTGTACAAGCCTAATTTGTGTGTACAGAAAGATAGTATCATTGGGTTGAAATTGTTCAAGTACCGTGTCGTGTTTGGTGTGGCCAAGCTCGGCCGTTAATGTTCTAGGTGTAATGTACTGCTGTTCTTTGTTATCACTTTGTCCTTCCTTCTTTCTTTCTCTTCTTTGTTCATTTTTCAGTTGCAAGTTTAATGTTAGTACACGCATTCGTTATTGCTCTCGCTTTCATTGTTAAAATGCAAACTTGTGAATTTCACTGCTTTTGTTCTTAGTATTAGTTCTCTTACTTAGATTCTCTATAATAGTTCAATTTTGTTTTCAGTGTCCTTTGGTACAAAGACGATTCCTGATGAGTGTTGTACGAAACATTGTTTGAATCCTTTTTTTCTCTACATCATTTCTTCACATTTTCATCGTTTTATTGCACATTGTCTCCACAGTTTTACATTGCATGAATAAAGTGTACACAAATGTCGATTCAGCTTGTATTATTGATTGCGGTTATATAATAAAGTACAAAAAAATACAAGATGTTTCTCGTTCTCTTCTTTCTTTTCTTCTTCTCGGCCTGTGCCATGTCTTCACCATCATCGGCGTGGTACTGTATGGCCGGCAGGAATCCACTCTCGGAAAGTGCGGCCGCGTATATTGGTTTTGCCTCTTCAAATATTTCCCCACTTGCTGAGATTAATGCCAGGCGCTTGTTGATGGACTTTGGTAGGTTTTTGATGATTGTCGGCGGGTGGTTGGAGGCCATGTTGAGATACAGGGGAGTTTCGCCGGTTTTCCTGTATGGCTTGTATGTTTCGGACGTTAGGTCTAGCGTTACATCGAGAACGTGTGTTGTCTTGATGTGGGTGTCAATTGTGATTCTCAAGCCGAAGAACTTGAACACGCTGGCGATGTTCTTCCTTCTGCGGTCTGCGACGCTGCCGGATTCACCTTCAGTGTGGCAAGACCATCGTCTCTGTACAGGCCAATAGACGCTGGATCCACAAAAGCAGCAAGCTTCATGAGGAGGAAAGCACCCATGAGCTGGCAGACCTCAGCTCCATCAAATGATCCCATCGTTACATTAAAAGCGCTCCCGCTGTTTCTCTTCACCCACGTGTTCTATCCGTCGAACAGTAGCGACCCTTGCCTTTGCAGTATCATATCGACTTCTTGCCGGCTGATGTTGGAATACTGCTTTGCGAATTCGATGGCACTTGTCAAGAGCTGCTCCGTGATTGATGGGTAGTATTCTACTATGTCAAATACCACGAAGGCTCTTTGGTCCCTTGACTCCAGAGCAGACGACCAGTCTAGAACTGAGACAGTTTATATTCCATAGGTTGACACGTGTTGCAGACTGCACATCCTTCATCATGCGCTCCAGAATTGCCTTGCTGATTCTTCTCATCTCGGGCTTGGCCGGGATGATCAAGCGGCATGGAAGGTCTTTGCGAGTCTTTCCTTATGATCTTTTAGGGTGATGAATGCTTCGGACTTTGCCATGACTTCCATTCGAACCAATTTCATTCAAACCAATAGTTATTTGCAATTGTCCTTCTTCTTGCCCTTGCTTGAAAATGGTTGCTTTTGCTGTGTAAGTCATCTCATAGCATGATTGAATAACACTTTGTTTGTTTTTAAAATTATTTATTCTCACGATGGCACCATCACCAATAAGAGATAAGTTTATGAGAAGGTGAGATGCTGTGGGTGGGGCTGTAGGTTGTATAGTTTGTTGTCTTGCTCTTTAGGTACTTACCGTTGAGTGCACACAAACATTTATCTGTAATTGTTGGGACTTTCACTTGGTGCAACTGTTTTGTCATTGAAAAAACTTCATTTGCCAGCACCAAAATTGCCAAGATACAAAGTAACCTAGAACAGTCCTGAAGAAAAAAAATCGGAAGGCAATAGTTTGACTGTTAGCTATCTAATGTTGATTGGAAATAGCTTGCTCAACAGGCAGTGGGCTGATTGTCACTTTGTTGACATCAGTAATTTTCATCGTGATACTCTCATCAGATGATATGAAGGGATAGTATTGTTTTCTTTGTTTGCATCGAGTTACCAAGGAAACAGACTGCAAGTCGTTTACAAATGTGCGCGAAGCTCGGGTTTACAACAAACCTCAACCTGAACATCCTCTGCTGTGTCTGCTATGTTCTAAGCTCTATCTATGACATCATCCTTTGCTGTGTCTGCTATGTTCTAAGCTCTATCGATGACATCATCCTTTGCTGTGTCTGCTGCTGTGTTCTAAGCTCTATCTATGACATCATCCTCTGCTGTGTCTGCTATGTTCTAAGCTCTATCTATGACATCATCCTCTGCTGTGTCTGCTATGTTCTAAGCTCTATCTATGACATCATCCTCTGCTACGTCTGCTGCTATGTTCTAAGCTCTATCTACGACATCATCCTCTGCTACGTCTGCTGGTATGTTCTAAGCTCTATCTATGACATCAGTCTGCCAATGTTCACACATATATTTTCATGAAATGCTTCCGCTACATTATATTTTTTATCACAATTTAAAAAATGTGTACAAATTGAGTGTCAGCATACAAACAATGTCATAACAAACATTTCTATAATAATAATTATACCGCTTGCATGTCTTTATCTCTATACATTTCCTCATATAATTTCAAACTCGGATGTTGAGCCATAAATAAATGTAGAAAGGAAAAGTCACTATGGATACGAGTTAAGAGTAACTCTCCACACCTGTAACATGATACTTTATACAGTCAGAAAGTGCAATAACTAGGCACAAAACTGACAAGAGTACTGAGACATTCGACGTCCTGACACCTAGCTTCAACACATCTCCGTAGCGCTAACCGACAGCCTTCCAACTTGGAAGGTTCAAGGTTATGGAAATGGTTATGTCAAATATTGTACTGGTCTTGTCATCGTCCAGTAACAATCGACATTCTTTGTTCCGTTGGGACTGTAGCTTTTGCTCGTTTTCGTTGCGCTTGCCTTCCCCTCTTTGGTCTTTCCATAACCTTGAACCTTCCAAGTTGGAAGGCTGTCGGTTAACGCTACGGAGATGTGTTGAAGCTAGGTGTCAGGACGTCGAATGTCTCAGTCCTCTGTCAGTTTTGTGCCCAGTTATTGCACTTTCTGACTGTATAAAGTATCATGTTACAGTGGTGGAAAGTTACTCTTAACTCGTATCCATAGTGTCTTTTTCCTTTCTTCATATAATTTCCTTCATCTTTCTGTGGCAACTGGACCTATGGGCAGGTAAGAAGGCAATCATGCCTGTGGACTTGGTGAAGTAAAATAAAAGTCAACAACAACAACAACATCAAGCACTCCCAGCAGCTCATAGATCAATTGTTCACTTCTGGGGTGAAAGTTCTAATCATTTCAAAGACTGAATTTGCCAACTTTCTTACTCAGACACTTCTTTAGCAATCTGAAACTACAAATTTCGATCAATTTTACCTCCATCATCGTGCTCGATTGCAAGGGTGTTTTGCTTTCTCAAAAAGTGGGAAAAGCATGAGCAAGGGGAGAGAATCAAAAAGCTAAGAAAGACAGAGGAGATAGAAGGTGAGACAAGAGGAGATGCTAAACACAGTGCAAGCACAAACGCACATGGCGTACTTCATTAACTAACCAGGGATGGCCGTTAACATATTGTGAGAGATATTATAATATTCTCTCTTCTTATCCACCATGGTCAACATAGTGATACATTTCACCCCGCTGATGCATTATTTTCTTCCGATTATCATCTTCTTTCCTTCATTTTTTTCTTCTCTTGCCATGGCTGGCTAACGACCCCTCCTTTGCATTGGCTTCTGCTATTGGACGGTGAAATAAATAAATAAATAAATAATCAACATGGATATAACAATTAAAAAAGGGTATGATTAATACTAAGGAAAAAATTGGAGGCGTATCCAATTTTGAAAGAAAAGGTGTCAGCACTAATAGATTTTAATACCAACTTCACACTTCTTACTCTGACACACAAGACAGGGCAAGGTAGCTTTCTTGGAAACCTCTAGACCCACCTTGCCATGTGTGTGTCGGGAGTAATGAGTGCACAGTTAATATTATTCATAGCATTATTCCTGTTGCTATGCAAACGACGGTCCACACAGCTTTAATTCCGTGTTTGTTTGTTTGTTTGTGCCATCGGCATGCCTGGCGCTATCCCATACCTGTCCCGTACCGCACCATCAAAGACAGCTGGCCACAATACATGTATTCAAATAGGATTGTCAAATGCAAGATCATAACGTGAAGCAACTTAGAAGAATGAGTATTTGTTTTTCGATTTTGACAGCATGTTACAAGGCGAGGACGCGTAGTGCTCCTGTGTCGAAATCGAAAAGCATGTTAAGGGGGCAGCCTACCCATAAATTTCATATGGCATACAATTGACCGTAACTTTGGCGTTTCTCAATGGAGTTGAGTGAAATTTTGACCACACACTCCTGCCCCTATGCTGGCCCTCCGGACATGATTTACAAGTTCTTGCACCTCACTGACAGGCTTTCCAGGCCGGAAAAACTCAAATTTCCGGCATAGTGCCACGGTGTGCGAGCCACCCAGGAGCCAAACAAATGCATTTACAATTTTTCACATTTTCGTGCCCATTCTGTCCGTGAGCGGGACCTAAACCTAAAACAAGTCCAGAAGCAGCCATGGGTGGTGGGGTAGGGCCCCTCAACGTGGCCCTGCAATCTGTCACAACGGAACGAGTGGGCGTTCTCTCACAGACTCGCACAGACCGAAGTCAATTTTGAATTTTTTAGGTTTAGCACGTGCTACGAGGTCGTACCTTTGATACAACATCCAGTGCTGGGACCTCCACAGCAAGCCATTTCCACAGCGCTGCACACCAAATCCAGGATACCCTCAGAAACCTGCAAAGACTACCACTCACGTTCCACCACTGCCTAGTACTGAATCCTACCTGACTTCTTGACACGACTCAAACTTGCCAAAGTCACTAAATCAACGTCAACTACAATAATCAAGCCACATATCTGCAACGTCACGAGGGTGCTGGCAAAAGTCCTGCTGCACGTGGCTCGAAAACGTGATTTTTTGGACTTGGAGCAAAATTCTGCACACTTTCGCGTGTTTCCATGATACGACAAGTTGCACATGGTCTGCTCACATTCAAATACAGTGCTGCCAACAAATGACAGCGTGCAACTCGTATGCGCTCTGCCGCGCTGCCGGTGGTGTTTCTCAGCACAGCCAAGCCGTCGTCCCTGTAAAGGCCGATCTGCGCTCTGCCGACGTGGGCTGTTAGTTCGTATCGGCCTGTACAGGGACGACGGCTTGGCTGTGCTGAGAAACACCACCGGCAGCACGGCAGAGCGCAGACGGAAGAGTTTGACGGCGGTGTTTGCAGGGCATGGACTAAAGGTAACGATTGACACCAACTTAAGGTAGTAAATTTCCTCGACGTGACGTTCAACCTGTCAACCGGAGGATACATGCCACACCGAAAGCCAGGCGACACACCGCAGTACATCAACACTCACTCAAACCACCCACCGTCCATAATAAAGCAACTACCAGCAGGAATAAGCCGACGCGTGTCAACCAACTCATCAAGTGAGGAAGCATTTAACGAAGCTGCGCCTATGTACAACAACGCATTATTGGCCAGTGGATACGCGGAAGGTATTGAGTACATGGGGCAACCAGCACAGAAAAACAGAAAGCGAAACCGAAAAAGAAAAATAACATGGTTCAACCCTCCTTTCAGCCGTAGCGTGAGAACAAACGTCGCTGCTGCCTTCCTCACAATGATCGACCGGCATTTCAAAAACACCCCCCTGAAAAAGATCTTCAACCGACATAACATGAAGGTTAGCTATTCATGTATGCCCAACATCGCAGCGATTATTAGTGGGCACAACAAGCGGCAACTGATACAAGAACCTCCTGAAAAGCCTTGCAATTGTAGGAAAAAGCAGGAATGCTCCATGAAAGGACGTTGCCAGGCCTCTCACGTCGTCTATGAAGCACACTTCACCAGCCAGGATGAGCTCAGGACATACATCGGCTCAGCAGAGACAACGTTCAAAACAAGATACAACAACCACACGATGTCCTTCCGCCACGAAAAATACCGCACTAACACGGAGCTCTCCAAACACCTCTGGAAAAAGAAAAACGACAACAAAGAGTATCACCTGACCTGGAGGATCAAGGACAAGGCCAGCTCCTACAACCCCGCAACGAAGAGATGTTGCCTTTAAACCACGGAGAAGGTGCGTATACTCACTGCTGACAAGACCAAAATCCTCAACAAGCGAAGTGAAATCATCGCCAAATGTCGTCATGCAAATCAATACCGGCTCGCTAAGTATAACTGAATCACGAAAAACCGGACATGGACAGAGCAACCTGATGCCCAATGGAACCAGACACACTGCACCATTATTGTTACTATTAACGCCAAATATAGCACCGTAATGGCCTTACACCTCCTGACGCCAGGCATGCGCTAGTTAACTCCAGATTTACGTGCTCCATTCAGCGCTTGTTACAGTAAGGGACAATTGATATCAATATTTTACACTGCCTGTACCTAGCAGTAACTCTTCACTCTTCACACTTCACGCTTTTTTTTTGTGCGCCTTACTGTGTGGTTGTGTATTTCTTTAGTGGACCTGACAGCCCTGCTTTAGTTAGAAAAGTTGCCTGACGATTGAAAAACTCAAGAAACTCGGAGTAGCAACGGATTGTGTTTTCTTGGTGAGGACCGCTTCCATTATATATATATAAACGTGCCAAGCAATGAGTGAGTACGCAACGCGTACTAATGCTAGTCATGGCAACAAGTAAGTTCTTTTTACGCTTTACGTTTTCGAACGTGATCGTGAGAGAGATCTCGAGAGCTA